CCATGGCCTCAGCACAAGTCGGCAGACGGTCTGCCACATGCTCGAACAAGGCAAGGGGGCTGAGGACTTGCAAACTCGTCCCTCCAAAGCTCCATGTGTAACTTCCTCCTCCGGCTCTGTGGGCCCCGGGCCCTTTCTTCCTAGGGTTGCCAACCCTCCAGGTTTCCCAGAATGAAAGATTAAAACTCCCTGAACTATTATGTCACATGATGAAACCTCCAGGAATACATCCAACAAGAATGGCAACCCTCTCTCTTCCTCTCCTCCGGGTGGGGCCCAACACTGTGCAGCCTTCTCGTGGCCTCTTTTCCCCAGGCCTGGCTGTGGCTGGCTGCCCTCCTGGTGAAGCCCCCGTGCCTGTTAATGGCACAATGTGTGTAGAGGAGGGGAGCGAATTTCCCGAGGCTACAGCAAGGACAGGTCCCTGGAGAGGTCCATGACCCAGCATCTCCCTCCCTCTTCGCCTCACGTCTCTATCTTGGGTTCTCCACCACGCCCATCAGTGCTCGCTCCAGCAGCAGAGAGAGGCAGGCTGTTGTGGGTGCCACCAGCTAATCTGGGTCTGGGAAGCAGGTCACTGGAGCCTGCTTGCCCGGTTCCTGCTGTGACTCAGCGAAGGCGCGAGAGATGCCCGAAGGATCGTTCTCAGCTCCCTAGTGCCTCCCTGGATGCTGCCAATGGGAAGCATCAAGCTGGAGGGAGAGCCAGCCAGGAGGAAAGGGCTGTCGGATTCTGCCAGTGCCCACTTGCACTATTAACCACGGGTTAGCAATTAGTATCCCAGCATCCTCTTTGCATCCCCCTCTCTGACTAATCCTGCTTTGCAGCCCCCATAGAGTCTGCCAGTGATTTCCAATTAATCAACACCCGGTGACATGGCAAATATTACAGAACCTCTTATCCAGACGGGGCAAACGGAGGCAAAAGGAAGCAAAGAGGCTCACCCTACAGTCACACAGACTCAGAGACAGAGCTAGGAAATAAAACCTTGTCCTGTTCCCTGGCCTTCCCTGCATCAACCACTCATCCAAAATGGTCCCTCCCGCCCATGGTAACTGCAGAGTGGCTGGGTTACTTGAACTCAGGTCAGCCAAATTGGCTCCAATTCCAGCTGGAACGCTCAACCCATGCTGACACATACACACCCATAAATTCACTCCAGGCCAAAACCCGGCCGGCAGGTTCCAGTGCACTGCCGATAGTTGATGAGAAAACAGTCACAAAGCACACACACTCACTTCCCAAAATAGTCCGGTGCAGTGGCTGTCATGCTGCAGGAGTGCACAAGAAAAATATCTGACCCGGATCCAACCAAGGAACTGGGTGTTTGCAAGCTTCAGCCTTTCAACAGATGCTTCATGATATTCTGGCTGCTCTTCAGATGATAATATGGACCAATCCCCGTTGGCATCCGATACAGATCTACAGCTTGGGCCTGGCGAATGGTCTGATGACAGATTCTCCAGAGGGTTGTGCATTGGAAAGAAAATTTCCCCTTGAATTTCAATGAAGTCTCACGTCTGACCTGGGGCCTGTAGGACACTATAACTGGAGTGTGACTTCCTCGGTGTTCATCCAAGCACTTTGGAGCTGCAAATTGCCTTATAAAAGCATTGAGCATTTCTATAGCTCCTCCCCTCTGCGAATCTCAAAGCACCTTCCAAACTAACCTTCTCAGGCCCTGTTATGAACTCAAGAAGTATCACTGCCCCAACTTACGAGAAGGGAATTACTTGTAGTCCCATGGGGAGTGTGTAGCAGCACTGGGAACAGAAACCAGATCTGCTGGCGCCAAGTCACCCATCTCAACCACAAGACCCGCTGTGCCTCAGACTGCACCAATTTCCATTGCAGATAAACAGGGAGACTATTAGTGTTTCTTAACCATAAACTTAACCATCAGTGTCCCAGCCTCTGGGACTCAGCTGACTGGCTTCTTTCTTCTCCAGCTCCCTGTGGTTTTGAACAGGCCGGTACCCATTAATATCTTTGAAGCTTTCCACCACGGCCTGACATGGTACCTGATAATGGCTCTAAAAGGACAAGAGAGCAGATTCGCATGGGAGACTGCAGGAGCCCTGAATTGAATCCGTTATGGGCGATTGAGCAGATTGCATTAACGACAATTTGTGAAACAGATTGTCATAAGGGATTTCTGACGGCTTTTTATGACAAGGAACTTTTATTTCCTTATAAGACAAAGCTAACATTATAAGAGGAGAGGCAAGAGGAGGGAAAAGCACACAGGAGAGGAACAAAAAAAAATCTGCATTGAACAGAGGAATATGAAAGATCTGGCAGAAGCCAAATGAGAAGATTAAAACTGCCTCCTGATTTCATTTAATCCTTCCTGGGTCTTGCACCATTCTATTCAGCAAAGTGTGCATGGGAGATGGGGTGGACCAGGGGATGAAAAAGAGCTTCCTTCTGTGTTTTCCACCTCTCCCTGCCTTTCCCCTGACACCTCTGCCTCTCAGTGGCTATATATGGAGAGCAACATGCACACTCTCGCCAGCTTTTAAATGTAACGCCTCACTCACTTGCAGAACTCACTGGGAACGGAGGTGGCCGAGCACTTTAATAAACATTCAGACGCTCACACAACAAGGAATCCGGTGGCACCTTAAAAACTAACAATTTTATTATGGCATCAGCTTGAGTGAGTTGCCACTCCCTTCTTTTGATGCATGAAGGGAAAGAAAAAGAAACCGAGAGTAGGGATTCAGAGATGGGAGTGTTAGATCAGCTAATTTTTTTCTTTTTCTATCCCTTCATGCATTTGAACAAGTGAGTGGCAACTCACAAAAGCCTATGCCCTAGTAAAATTGCTAGTTTTTACAGTGCCAGCGGATTCCTTGTTGTTTTTGCTCAAACAAACTAATGGGGCTGCTTCCGAAACCTACCATTCATAAGCTCATTGAGGCCTGTGGACCATCTTTTTGTTCAGTGTTTGTACAGCCCCTAGCATACTGGAGCCCTGATTCCTGTCTGGGACGCCTACCTGTTACCAGTGCTTAGACTATTCAACACGCATGCTTCAGGGCCCAGAGTGGTCACCTGCAGGGTCAGGAAGGAATATCGCAAAAGTGTAATGGAGCTGACTCTGTGTGTCTCTGCAAATCAGAGGCAGACTACCACACCGGATGGGTGAGCTCCAAGAGAGATGGGGGAAGGATAGTAGACAGAAAGCACTGATCTATCACAATAAGGCAGGCGATGGGACTTCCAGTGGAGCCTTAAGCATAGCAGGAAGCTGGACACTGATTAGGTGGAGCCCTGGTCTCTTCTAGCACATGGGTGGCGGAGGAGGAACTGGAGCAATGAATAGGGAAAGCTATTGTTCTTTGGTTAAGGCACTTCCTATGCTTCAGTGGTGATTGAGGATACATTATGCATCTGCCAGAGCAAACCATCCCTCAGCTCCTGCAGACTCATCCCACCATCCATGCTCTTGGCTGGGTGCGGGGAGTGACCTAGCCCAGGCCCCGAATGGAAAATCTCCAAGGGCATTCACAGCCAACGCTTTCCTGCAAAGTTGGAGCGTGTTGCCTGCCAAAAGCCACAGCTCAGAGAGGCTCTTGAGACAGCTGAGCTGCCAGGCTCGGGAGAGCAGTGAGCTGGGGAAGACCCCAGCCCGGCTTCACCCATCACCTTAGTCCTCTGCAATGCACAAGCAGGGGCTTGTTCGCCCGGGCAGGGGGCTAAGGAGGGTCATGTCGGGCTCTTGCTTCCCTTGCTCCTTGGCACAGACTCTCTGGACTCCTGCCTCTCAGCACCAGGCCTTGGCAAAGACCCACCCTCCTCTCCCAACGCACCGAGCTGCCCAGCCCTGGGGGTGGCCCATCCCGGAGGCTCCCAGGTCTGCCCGCTGCAACGTGGGCCGCCCCACTGAACCCTGCGAGGGGCTTGGAGCCCCTCTCTCTTCCTCCAGCCCACAGGGCAGGACTGGAGCTCCAGTGGGGAGCAGCGGAGAGGAGTCCGGGGGGCTCCCTGCTCAGCCAGCGGATGCAGGGCTCCCCTCTGGCACAGCCCCCCTCTGCTCTGAGCGCACAGCAAAGGGGTCTCCCTGTCGCGACCTCCCTCCAGCCCCGCCCTTCTCCCCTGGGCCCAAGGGGTTAAGTCCCGAAAGGGGAAATCTGTCCAGTTGCCTCCCCAACGCATTTTCCAGCACAATGCCCCCCCCCCCCCCCCAGTGCTAAACTGACAGCCTCCTTTGGTTTTCCTGGCAGGACCCTGGATTCGCCGAAACCCCTTCGGTGCCGCACAGAGCCGGGGCAGTTTGAAAAGTGGGTCAGTCTCAGAATTGCCCCAGAGTCAGGCCGCGGGGGGAGGGGGGCAGAAACGAGCCACCCCCCCCCCCAACACACACATACACACCCCGCTGCCCACGCGCACAGCCGAGGACTGCTGCGGAGTCACTCCGGTTTGGCACAGGTGGCCGCGGATCCGAATCAGGCCCCCAGGAGCGGATCGGGACCGTGTCAGGCGCCGCTGGGAGAAGGTCCCTCCCCGGGCTGCGGGATAACTCAGCGGGGGACTCCCGAGACATTTCTACCGCCCCCCGTCCCCGCCCCCTCGAGGAAAGCGGGGCTTGGGTGTGAGCGCTGGCCCACGAGTGCCCCGAACCCCTGTGCGCCTCGCCCAGCCCTTTTCGGGGACCCCGGCAGCCACGCCTGGCCAGAGGCGGCTGGAGCCAGCGAGCTGAGCCCGGGACTCGGAGCCTGGCTGCTGCCCAAACAACCCCCTGGCGTTGTACAGGCAAAAGATGGTCTCTGCCCCCCGCCCCCCAAGCGGCACCCGCCCCACGCAGATACCTTCGCATCAGCTCCAAAGCCAGGCAAGAAGTAGCTCTGCTCCCCCCGCCCCGACTTCTGAGCAGCAAGAACCCCCATCTCCTACCCACCCTGCTCACCCCAACTTCCCCGCGCCCCTCCCCCGTGCTGCCAGAGACCCGGGCCCCGGGGAGGTGGGGCTGGCGAGATGGGGTCCCCCTCGCTCACCTGGGAAGAGGGACGCCAGCAGCAAGCAAACTCCAGGAGTCCACCAGCACCCAGGGCAACTGGGCTGCAGCCGGAGAGCCATCGGCGTTCCTGCCTCGCACGGACGCGGGGAGCGGAGGAGCGGTTGGCTTGCGCCCCCCCAAATAGTGCAAAGGGCACCGCAAAGCAAACGGCGGCTTGGAGGGCGAGGCTGCCCTGGGGGAAAAAATCCACCGATTCCACCGCGCACAGCCTCCCGGCTGGGGCTGCTCGCCCCGCTCCTCCTGCCGCCGGGCTGTCCCCCCCTAGCACCGCCGAGCCCCGGATCCAAGCGGGCAGGTCATGCTCCCCTTCACCGCCTCCCCCTCCGGAGCCTGGGGGCAGGTCGGAGCCCTTCCTGGGGGGGCAAAATCCCCATGCGCCCCCGCCGGATCCTGGCGCTGGGCCCCGCCGCCGAGCCGGGCTTTGCGCGGAGGCTGGTTAATTTCCAGTCCACGTTGCTGCGCTCCTCTAGCTGGTCCCGTGCGAGCTGCCGCGCTCCATGTCTTGGCGTCTCTCCTCCGGGAGCTGGGCGGGCCGAGGGAGGGCGGGGGGCGGCGGCAGCCCGGGGACCCCGGGGCTCCGAGAGGCGGCTGCGGGGGGGAAGAGGCTGGAGGCTCCGCGGCCCATCCGCGCGGGGAAAGCGGCTCCCTCCCGTGCGCGCCCCGCTCGGTAACAATGGCACGCGCAGCCACACGCGCGCCCGGCTCCGGATCCCAGCCCGCTCCTCCGCCGTGATGTCAGCCCGTGTAAACCAGGAGGAGGGCTCAGCCTTAACCCTTTCCGCCCCTCTCCCCCGGCCGTGGCCTGCAGCCGACCGGCCCCGCTCACAGCTCGGGCTGGGGCTCGCTTAGTTGGGGCTCCCCTCCCCACTCTAAACATTAGCCCGAGTTCCAGGGGAAAGCCAGTTTAACTTACTCCCATCTCTGCGCTCAGCCACACTGGGCCCGATGCTGCCAACGGATCATCAGTTTCAACAGGACCAACCCCCCCTCCCCTCCACGATCTGCAGAGGATCCGCTATTTGTTTTGTTTCGCTCTGTTTAATCCCCGAAGTCATAGCGGTTCTGTGGCTCCACGTAGTGGGACCAGGAACTCAGGACTTCTGGTTCACCCTCAGGTGCCTGCCTTCAAGCATTTCCCTCCTGTCTTGTTTTCCCCTTCCAGCATCCATAGGCTGTCTTGTCCATAGACTGCAAGATCTCCTGGGAGAGCCTAGCACACTTGGGAGACAGGAATAGATCGTGCTAAAGGGTACGTCTACACAGCACACTTATTTCGAAATAAACTATTCCATCTGCCTCTTCTGATATCCCGTCTTTAGGTGCTGATAGACTGTTTTTCCTGTTACATTCCAGATCGACTTTCCCCTTAATATTTTATACCCACTGTCTCTTCTTGTTTCTCATCCCATTTTTTTCTTCTTCCCTCCACCCTCCCCCCCTTTCCCTTCACCTCTATTTATTTTAGTTCTGGACATCCAACACTCTGATCATCTGAAGAAGTGGGTGACCACGAAAGTTCATGATACCATCTACATGTTTCCTTGGTCTTTAAAGTGTTACCAGACTATTTGTTGTTTTTTAAGTTTATCCAGTACAGACTAACTCCGCTACCCCCTGAAGCTTTTATTCCAGAATACAGGACTATGTAGCACTTGAAAGACTAACAAGATGGTTTATTAGATGATGAGCTTTCGTGGGCCAGACCCACTTCCTCAGATCAAATAGTGGAAGAAAATAGTCACAACCATATATACCAAAGGATACCACTTGTCATCACCTACAACCCCCAAATTGAACCTGTCCAACACAGTATAATAAACTACAGCCTGTACTGGAACAGGATACCATACTCCAAGAGGCTCTGGGAGACAGACCCATAGTCTCCTATAGACAACCACCTAACCTCAAGATGATTCTTACCAACAATCACAGGATATACCATACTAATACCAACCCTGGTACCTTCCCTTGCAACAAACATATATGGTTGTGACTATTTTCTTCCACTATTTGATCTGAGGAAGTGGGTCTGGCTCACGAAAGCTCATCATCTAATAAACCATCTTGTTAGTCTTTAAAGTGCTACATGGTCCTGTATTTTGTTTCAGCTAGACCAGACTTACACGGCTACATTTCTATCACAATTCCAGAATATTTATTCCAAAATCGCTTATTTCGAAATAGCATGTCTACACTGCAGGGAAGCATCAAAATGAGTTGGAGGCAGGCTTCCCTAATGTAGACATGCTATCTTGATTTAGAGCCCCAGGAGACACTGGGGAGGAATAATTTCAAATGGCCCTGGGGAGGGGCTATTTCGAAATAGCAGCAGCAGAGCATCTACACACGCCTTATTTCAAAATAGCTATTTCGGAATAGGTATTATTTCTTGTAGAACAAGGTTTACAGATTTCGGAACAAGCCACCCGTTATTTCAAAATTATTTCGAAATAGCAGAATGGCTGTGTGGATGTTCGCATAGTTATTTTGAAATAACGCTACGCAATGTATCATTTTTTTAATAATGACTTGTACACAGGATCTAGAAAAACACAATCTTTTCTTCTTTCAAAGGTCCCTCTTGCTAATTCAGTATTTAACCAACAAGGCACACTGGCATCAACAAGGATGCTGAATCTCAAACAAAGAAGTGACAAACAACAACAACAACAACAACAAAGTCATGTTGATTTCAAGCTCCATTAGAAACAACACAGGAACAAATCAATGCTTGGCAAACAGAAAAGGACAGAATCAGTAGGGAAGGATATTGCACACAATGGTGAGTGGAAAGACGGAAGCTATAAAAAGATACCTCTGAGGGCTCTTTCAACACCCCTTTCCTTTTTTTCCCCTTCTTCCCGTAGAAGCTAATTGCCATTCAAGGGAAGGCTGGACAGTTCTGTAACAAAGCCGATTAGCCAGATACAAGGTTTGTTTGGGAATAATGAAGGTTATTACGTAGTAATAAGGTTTAGTTAATAGATTCATGGATTTTAAGGCCTAAAGGGACCATTAGAACCATCTAGTCTGACCTCATGCATAACACCAGATAGAAAACATCACCCTGGAATTTCTGCATCAAGCCCAAAGCCTCTGCCTGATCTACAACATCTGTTTGAGAAAGATAGTCAGTCTTGATTTAAAGGCAAGTGATGGTAGATAATGGACAGGGGATGGTAAGTTGTTCCAGTGGTCAACTACCCCACTGTTAAAACACGTGTACCTTCATTTTCGCTTGAATTTGTCTAGCTTCACCTTTCAGCCACTGGATCTCATTTTGCCTTTTTCTGTTAAAGAGCAGTCTATTGGCAAGTTCATGGAGGGTAGGTCTATCAGTGGCTATGAGCCAAGATGATTAGGGATGCAAACCCACACTCGGAGTGTCTCTAAGCGGCCGACTGCCAGAAACTGGGACTGGACAACAGGGATTATTAGATCACTTGAAAATGTCCTGTTCTGTTCATTCCTTCTGAAGCAATTGGCATTGGCCCCTGTTGACAGTGAGGATACTTAGCTAGTTGGACCTGTGGTCTGAGCCAATATGGCCATTCTTATGTTCTTAACCTGCCTCCCCTGCTTCCTCGTAGAGATCAAGTCACTTCACATTTTGCAGCATCATAACCTAGATTGTCCTAACACGACCCCTCCTCTCCTTTGTTTACTTGCCTTGATGACAAGTAATAAAATGGTGATACTTAAAATATTGTCCCGAGTGTCTGAGTTCACCTCCATTGAGATAAAAGGAGCAGTTCTGAACCTCCGAACTAGGCTTTCTGCAAACTCAGGCAAGATGTCGCTTTGTCGGAGGCATTCACGTCCTGTTTTACATGTTATACTTGCAGCCGTAGCATCTAGAACAGTGCTGGGCAACCTAGGCTAGTGAGCAGGCCGCATGAGCAGCCTCCTTCGTCTCAGTGGGATGCAAGATTGTTGTAACTAAGATGGTCTCCTAGGATAGAATTGTTTTTCTAAGTGCACTTGTGTACCTAGAATTTGCGGGGGAGGGTGCCAACTGAATCGTAGCAACACTTTGATTGGATGTGGCGGGAGCGCATGGCTTTCATGGTCAGTTATGTACAATCAGCATCCACCTCTCTTCACGTGCCCTGGCTTCACACCCATGTCACTTCAGGAAAAAAATGACACGGATGGAAACCAGTGGAATCTGGCAACCCTGTGTGCGAGCAACAGGGGACAAAATGTCTCTTGGGCCACTCGTAGAACCCCAGTGAGCCCTCGGACCGCAAGCTGCCTACCTCTAAAAATAAATGACGGTTGAGATTCTGCTGAACAAGGGAAAGGGCTGGGCTGGCCTTCAAGCCCCCAAAGGGAGAATGCCACCCACTTGGTAAAACACCGACTTACAACAAAGTTTATTACCCCATGATAATATCAATGGAGGTTGAGGGTGATTCAAATCAGCCCCAGATGACCATGGAGTGTTGAGAAATGCAGGGGTGGTTTGAGTGTGGATTTTTATTTACAGAGCAGTGAGAGCAGGGCCTTTACAAGTTTAATTACACAATATTTATTTGACGGTAAAGCTGAGGAGTGGGGAGAACTGAGGTTCCAAAATGGGCTATTTTGCTACTTTGATTTATCAGTTGTCTGATTAATTGGTTCCTTTTAATTTTATTTTGCTGCTGGGTGCTTATCATTTGTGATTGTAATTCTAATTAATTGGCAAGCTACGCAAAGCTTTCTGTATGGTCTTTTACATTTGTGGAAAAAAGCAAGAAAGAATTATGTTATTCCCAAGTAACACAAATATGCGGTTGGTTTTCATGCGTTACTGAGAACACAACTCCAGAAGAAGTCAGCGGGAGCAGCAGCTACCCGGAATCCTTGAAAATCATGCCCGGTCTGTCTAGCTCTTTAATCTATCCAGGTATTTTTAGAGCATCTATCACATTTTAAGGTTAAAGGCACAGATTCGAGGCACGGTTTTCTGCTGTGCTACTGTTTATTGCAATGAACTAATGAGTGTGAACCACTGCCCTCTATAGGCATGGCATCAGAACTGCTTAACTGTGTGGCATAGTTGCTATACTGTTAACAGGCCTGTAGACAGCGACTAGCTAATCCCCATCTCGCCATACCCTTCTCCCTAATGTAAATGAAGTTTAAACTCCCCCCTCCCCTCACTCCCATTGTGATCTAGCTGACTGAGACTGTTAACAGGCCTGTAGACAGCGACTAGCTAATCCCCATCTCGCCATACCCTTCTCCCTAATGTAAATGAAGTTTAAACTCCCCCCACTCCCATTTGTGATCTAGTTGACTGACGTTGACCTTATGGCTGAGGGAACTTCAGTATGCTGATGACAGAGCAGTTTTTGCCCACTCTGAGGAAGATCTTCAGCACCTGAATGTGTGTGCTGATGCTTACGCGTGTCTTGGTCTCACCCTCAACATCAATAAAACCAAAGTGCTCCATCAGCCCTCTCCAAATGAGGTCCCATGCGCCTCATCTGTTAAAATCAATGGAGAGGCACTGGAGAATGTTGATCATTTTCTCTACCTTGGAGGTTGTCTTTCATCCAGGGCAGATACTGATGTGGAAACCCAGCATCGTCTGAGCTGTGCCAGGCCAGCCTTTGCTCGTTTATGGCACAGGGTTTTTGAAGATCATGACATTCTAACATACCTGCCTCTGGAAATTTCCACTACACGCATCTGACGAAGTGGGTCTTTGCCCACGAAAGCTTATGCTCCAACACTTCGGTTAGTCTAT